TCATTTCCAAGGCAAACCATTCAGTATCACAGTAATCCAAATCTATGCCCCGACCGCTAGTGCTAAAGAAGCTGAAGTTGAACAGTTCTATGAAGACCTACAAGACCTTCTAGAATTAACACCCAAAAAAGGTGTCCTTTTCATTATAGGGGACTGGAATGCAAAAGTAGGAAGTGAGAGCTACCTGGACTAACAGGCAAATTTGGCCTTGCAGTACAAAATGAAGCAGGGCAAAGGCTAACAGAGTTTTACCAAGAGAATGCACTGGTCATAGTAAACACCCTCTTACAATAACACAAGAGAAGACTCTACACATGGACATCACCAGATGATCAGTATTGAAATCAGATTGATTATATTCTTTGCAGGGAAAGATGGAGAAGCTCTATACAGTCAGCAAAAACAAGACCAGGAGCTGACTGTGGCTCAGATCATGAATTTATTGCCAAATTCAGACTTAAATTGAAGAACGTAGGGAAAACCACTAGACCATTCAGGTATGACCTAAATCAAATCCCTTATGATTATACAGTGTAAGTGACAAATAGATTCAAAGGATTATATCTGATAGATAGAGTTCCTGAAGAACTATGGAGAGATGTTCATGACATTACACAGGAGGCAGGGATCAAGACCATTCCCAAGAAAAAGAAATGCAAAAAAGCAAAATGGCTGTCTGAGGAGGCCTTACAAATAGCTGTGAAAAGAAGAGAAGCAAAAAGCAAAGGAGAAAAGGAAACATATACCCATTTGAATGCAAAGTTCCAAAGAATAGCAAGGAGAGATAAGAAATCCTTCCTCGGCTATCAACACAAAGAAACAGAGGAAAACAATAGAATGGGAAAGACTAGAGAATTCTTCAAGAAAATTAGAGATACCAAGGGAATATTTCATGCAAAGATGGGCTCAATATAGGCACTGAGAGTAGTTGGTGTATCATCTTCTGTTCTTGTCCATCCTGAAAGGCAAGTTTCCTTAGTAGGGAGCTCCAATACCTAACTACTTGCTACCCAAAAGCTTACTTGTTTTCAGAAATTCATGTTGATGGCTTCCCTGGTGGTCTCTGGTTAAGAAGCCTCCTTGCAATGCAAGGGACACTGGTTTGATCCCTGGTCTGAGAAGATCCCACAGCCTCAGAGCAACTAATTCTCTGCACTGCAAATCCTGGGCTCTGTTCTTAAATACATGCTCCATAACGAGAGAAGCCACCACAACGAGAAGCCCACACACCTCAACAACGAGTAGCTCCCACTCACTGCAACTAGATAAAACTCACATGCAGCAACAAAGGCCCACCACAGCCAAAAAATCTTTTTTCTAAATCTTTAAAAAAAAAATCCATTTTGTGGTCCAGCTGAAGCAAAACCATTGGCCTTAAATTGCATTCTCCTTTCACTGATTTTCAGGCTTTCATGATAGCTCATTTGGTAAAGAATCCACCTGCAGGAGACCTGAGTTCGATCCCTGGGTTGGGAAGATCCCCTGGAGAAGGGAAAGGCACCCACTCCAGTATTCTGACCTGGAGAATTCCATGGACTGTATAAGCCATGGGGTTGCAAAAAGTCAGACACAACCGAGGGATTTTCACTTTCAATGATTTTCTAAAGAAAATCTTTGCTTAGAGTTAGTTTTCTGTGAGTAGAACGACTGGACTTTTCATTCTAAACTTGGGAACAAAAAATAGTGCTTCTTAAACTGTGCTTTCACAGTACACTCTATGTTATAGATTGGCTCAAGAGATTCCACCACTAAAAATGATGTGTTTAGAGTTGCTGTAGAAAGCAAAAATGCAGGATAGCCAGCTACATTTGAATTAAAAATAAACCATAAATATTTTTTAGTACATAAAATATCCCTCTGCCTTCTAAAAATATCCAAGAAGCAATCTCCTTATGAAATTAAAACTTTGCTTTTTATTTCTTTTTTTGTAGTCTAGGTTCTTTTAGTGAAGAAGCATTTTTAAGATTGAGATGAATAAATCTGGGTATGTGTATGTTGTCTCTCATAAATACATCAATAAAGTATTGTTCATTATTTTTGTAAGGTAGCTTTCCTTGCAGAATGGTTTCTTTTTGCACCTGTACTAAAAATGTCAATGTTTTTTCCAATAGTCATGTAAGGATGTGAGAGTTGGACTATAAAGAAAGCTGAGCGCTGAAGAATTGATACTTTTGAACTGTGGTGTTGGAGAAGACTCTTGAGAGTCTCTTGGACTGCAAGGAGATCCAACCAGTTCATCCTAAAGGAGATCAGTCCTGGGTGTTCATTGGAAGGACTGATACTGAAGCTGAAACTCCAACACTTTGACCACCTGATGTGAAGAGCTGACTCGTTGGAAAAGACCCTGATGCTGGGAAAGATTGAGGGCAGGAGGAGAAGGGTACGACAGAGGATGAGATGGTTGGATGGCATCACCGACTCAATGGACATGGGTTTGGATGGACTCTGGGAGTTGGTGATGGACAGGGAGGCCTGGTGTGCTGCGATTCATGGGGTCACAAAGAGTCGGACATGACTGAGCAGCTGAACTGAACTGAACTGAGTGTATTTTTGTCCATCCCAATCTCCCAGTTTGTCCCATCCCCCCTTTTCCCTGTTGGTTTGGTATCCATATGTTTGTTCTCTAGCTCTGTGTCTCTATTTCTGCTTTGTAAATAAGATTGTCTATAAATTTTTTTTCCAGAGCACCTATTTCTAATGTGAAATACTGGAATAGTCTGAATATGGTTGGACCAATACTTGATTATATCTGAATTTTTCTCTACTGGACTGACCCATCATATTTTTTTTCATCATCACTTTTTTGCTCCAGAAAATCATCAGAGATTACAGTTTAGAAATATTAACCTGTATATGTAGACTTTATCTGCATCAGTTAGATCATCTGAAGGAAGAGTATCTTTCAAAGTGATTAATACTGGCAGGCAACCAGATGGCTTCACCAGTGAATTAATTCAAACATTTAAGAATGAAATAATACCAAGCTTGAACAAACTCTTCCAAAGAACAGAAAAAGGCAGCATACTTGCTAACACTTTAGGAGGCCAGAATAACCTCAATTATATAGGCTGTCATGAATATTTTAAGAAAGAAAAGTTAGATTGATATATTTCCTTTAAAAAGATACAAAACATAAAACATATTAGGCTGACCTATACACACTGTCATTGCAGGTCAAACATTGTCAAATGTTAGCCACTTGATGTTCTTCAAACTAGCATTAGCAAATCGGATCTAGCTATCTTTAAGAGTAGCATAACAATCAACTGAGTTAGGAAAAAATTGATATAATTCACACATTAAAAAAAGGAAAAAATATTGGTCATCTTGACACTGAAAAAAACATTTGATAAGATTTACCAGCCAGTCATGAAAACAATTGTTGGCAAACTAGCTACAGATGTATTACTTAATAAAGAATATTGTGGTGGGCAGAAGTCTTAGATGATCCCCAAGATTTCTGCCCAGTGAGATGGATTCTCTATAATTCCCTCTCCCTGACTGTGAACAGAACATGTAAATATGATGGGATATCATTTGTGATTAAGTTGCTAATCAGTTAATGTTGAGTTAATCAAAAGAGAGGTTATCTAAACGGGCCTGACCTTATCAGGTGAGCCATAGAGAGCAACATGGGAACTTACATTACCATATATAAAATAGATAGAAAACGGTAATTTGCTGTATGGCTCAGGAAACTCAAACAGCGGCTCTGTATGAACCTAGAGGGTTGGGATGGGGAGGGAGAGGGGAGGGAGGTTCAAAAGGGAGGGGGTACATGTACATGTAAGGCTGCTTCATGTTGGGGTTTGACAGAAAACAGCAAAATTCTGTAAAGCAATTATCCTTCAATAAAAAATAAATAAATTAAACACACACACACACAAGGATTGGAATCTCTCTGAAGTCAGATTTACTGTAAAGGAGATGTAGCAACAGAAAACCAGCTCAAATATGTATTTTAAAAACCCACAGGAACCATCATTCTCAATGACAAATATTGAAAACTTTCTCCTGAGATCAGGAATCCCCACTTGCACTGTTTCTATTCAATACTATACTAGCTGTCCTAGAAAGTGCAACAAAACAAGCAAAATTAAAAGGAAAAGGATTGAAAAGGAATGGATAAAATTGGCACTGTTGACAGATTACCTAATGGTGGACTTAGACTATCCAGAAGAATCTACGAGCTTTTAGAACTGACAAATAAATATAGCAAGGTTGCTAGATACAAGGAAGGTCAATATACAACAAAAGCTTTGTTTTTATACAACACAAAAACTGTGTTTTGTGTCTAGTAATCAACAGAATGTAGAAAATAAAACTTATAACTTACAATAGCACCAAAATAATCAAATACAATAAATACCAAAATATAATGAAAGATGTGTAAGACTTTTGTACTAAAAGCTAAAAAATATTAATGAAATAATTATGACAATACTAATGAAATTAATGAAATATGAGAAATGAAAAGAGATTTAAATAAATGGAAAGACATATCATGTTCATGAATTGGCTCAATGCTGTGAACATATCAGCTCCCCACAAATTAATCTGTATACCTACTGAAGTTTCAATATAAGTTCCAGCAGTGCTGTGGATTAAATGTTATGTTTCCTCAAATTTACATGCTGAAATCCTGATCCCCCACTGCTGTAAAGGTATTAGAACTTGGAGCCTTTGGGAGATAATTAGGTCACGTAGGTGGAGCCCTCATGAATTGTGAAGTGAAAAAGTGAAGGTTAAAGTCGTTCAGTTGTGTCCAACTCTTTGTGACCCCATGAACTAGACAGTTCTATTCATGGAATTCTCTAGGCCAGAATACTGGATTGGGTAGCCTATCCCTTCTCCAGTGGATCTTCCTGTCCCAGGAATTGAACTGGGGTCTCCTGCATTGCAGGTGGATTCTTCACCAACTGAGCTATGAGGCAAGCCTGTATCAGTGTCCTTATAAGAAGACAGATAAGCGCTCTCTCTCTCTCTCTCTTTCTCTCTATACCTTGTGAGAATGAAACATGAAGAAGGCTGACTGCAAACCAGAAGGAAGGTCCTCATCAGACACTTGAACTGTAGCCCCTTGATCTTAGATGTCCCAACTTTCAGAACTGTGAGCAATAAGTTCCTGTTATTTAAGCTACCAAGTCTATGGCCATTTGTTACACAGCCTGGAGGTGACTGAGATGTAATAATCCCACTAGTTTATTTTTGCTTTTATTGCCCATGCTTTTGACATCACATCCAAATCAATTCCCAGATCACTATCAAGAAGCTTTTCCTCTGTTTTTTCTAGGAGTTTCACAGCTTTGGATCTTACAATTAAGTCTTTAATACCTTCTAAGTGAATTTTTGTGAAGTCTAAGGGTCTAATTTAATTACTTTGTATGTGAATACCCAGTTTTCCCAATAGCATTTATCTCAGAAATCTCAGAAAAATGATGTCGATAAAAGAATCCAGACACACGAGCTCATGCTCCAAGATTTCATTTATATAAAAAGTACAAAACAGGCAAAAATCTGCAGGGTATCTTGCCTGGAGTATTCCACTCCAGTATTCTTGCCTGGATAAATCTTTGTGAAGAAGTGGGGCAAGGCTGTTGAGGTGCTGGGATGTTCTTTCTCAGTGTGGGTGCTGATGACACAAGTGAGTTCTGATTGTAAAAGTGTACTGAGCCTTCTGATTCTATGTGCACTTTTCCGTGTTAACATTACACTCCAATAAAAGTAAAATTAAAAGGTAATTTGTTCAAACTTTTGTCAATAAGTGATTTATATAAAAATTAATATACATCTAAGTGGTGTGGAAATTTAGAAATCACAATTTTACAAAATTGTGTCCTATAAAAAATTTGGTATCCAGCACTGTACCAGGTGTACCAAAAAAGTTGCTTGATCATGTTCTTTTTTCATTTCCACTGTATTTTGTTCCAAAAAGGGTATCAGGAAATAAAAAAAATGTCTCTTCATTCTGGTGACAAGGATGTCAATCAAAAATAGAAGCTACCATTTTTTGAATGTCTAGTATATGTCACAACTGTAGCTTGTGTTGTCTCTAATTACTCAACATCTGGTGATATGAGTTTTGTTATTCCTTTTTGCAGATGCGCTAACTGAGGCTCAGAGACATAAAAGAATTTGACCAAGGCCACACTGATTTTTAAACTCAGATTTGTTTCATTTCCAAACCTGTTCTTTTTGCACCACACCATACCATCCTTGTGTCTGATTCTTAGGACAATGCCAGCTCTCTGAAATACGCCACATGAACAGTCTACCTGCTGCCCACGAGCACTGGAGTCGGGACACCGAGGACTCATTTGCCTCCATTTCCATTTCCAGTGAATCCAGACACCATGGACTTCCTACCTTAGCCTTCCTGAGTCAATGTTCCTCCTATTTAGAGAGAGCTCAGACCACCATAATCATATGTTTCAATTTCAGTTTTTGGTTTCTAAAAATAAAGAGGATCCATGGTCTAGATATCCTAAAGTTGACTTTTTTCATCAAATGCAGCAAATGAAATAATGATACATGAGTTGGGGGTGGTGGTTTATGTGGTTTTGTCTAAGTTACGAGAAAAAAATAGTCTTACATCAAGGCTCCAAACAGGAAACGTAGATTGTATTTTAATCACCATGTGGAACCCTGTGTAAGACTTTTAACCCCTCCTGGAGAAAAAAGAAAGGATGCTATATCTGCTTATAAGGAGATAAGGAAATAAAGCTATTTATACTAGACTTTTAAGAAAAAATGTACATAGAGACCAAAATTAGGCTGATGTGATTGCTTTATAGAACAGCTTCTCTTTCTTGTCTCTTGTTTCACCCTAACTCTTCTCCATCAGTCACACTGCTACTCCTTGAGTTTCAGTGATAAATACAGGAGTTCCTGGGCAGATGCTAAGGATGATGCAGGGATCAGTTGAGCCCTTCATCAAAAATCCACTGGGTGCCTGCCATATACTAGATGTGCTATGTATAATACGATGCTTAGGATAACATAGTGAGTCAGATTTTTTTCCTGCCTTTAAGAAACTTTAGTTTTGTCACTAAAGGGCTAGGGATTCAATGTCCTTGCCACCACCTCCGAACTGGCCCGAATCTACAGACTATTCCCAGAACCACTGGTTTTACTTGAAACAAGTCAGTGGAGGCTGAACCTGCTTTGGTTCTCCCTACTCCTCAAGGTTTTATTTAACAAGTCATCTGCCTCCTGCAACAAACACTGTTTCAATTCCCCCTCCATGGTCAGGTTCATACTTTCCTTTTTACTTTCCCATCTGTCCACATGCCATGTTCATGGCATCCTCTGATTGTATACTAGGACCATGTGTGTGTCTGTGTGCATGCTCAGACACACAAATGTGTATCTTCTCCCTAAACAGAGCCTCCCAATCTTCTGAAGGCATAAACCTTGACTTTAGAAAAGCTTAGAATGTCTTATTTGGTCAGTTTTGCTTAATAAGTACTGTTGATCAACTGACTAATTGGTTGAAAGACTCTGAGCCCACTGGTCCTGCATAACAGACAGGTTGGCTAATCCAAACCAACTTCTCTGGGATGAGGCCACCTGAGGTGAAGCAACAGGGCAGTGCTGGCCAGCGTGTCACCGTGTGGGGTTTGACCTGCTATCAGATGCCAAAGTTTGCCCCAGTGACTAACAGCGGGCACTGGGGTTCACTTATTACAGCTACTTCCATGAGAGAAAGTAGCCAGAAAGCATTAAATAAAAATGCAACCTTGGGTCCTTCCTAGAATCTAGCATGATATAAAAAGTTAACAAAGTAGAATGGAATAATTCCTGTAACCACAGGGAAATGTGCAGAATTCTTATGAGTAGAATGCCCAGTGTCCTCCACTCCCATCCTTCTTTTCCTATAAAAATGTCTAGGTTGTCCAGAGGTCAGTGGGGAAGGTTTATAGGGGATTATCCTTGAGGATAGAGGCTTCCCTTGTGGCTCAGTGGTAAAGAATCCACCTGCAATGAAGAAGACGCAGGAGATGCAGGTTTGATTCCTGGGTCAGGAAGATCCCCTGGAGGAGGGCATGGCAACCCACTCCATTATTCTTGCCTGGAGAATCCCATGGACAGAGGAGCCTGGTGGGTTACAGTCCATAGGGTCACAAAGAATCAAGATGTGACTGGGCATGCATGCACACCCTGTAGGATAAACTAATTGTTCTCAAAAACAATTTTTTTCCTGATAAAGCAAGGAATTATGAATAGTGGGGCTTGAGGCTATCATTGCAAGGTATAGGGGTAACTTTTCAAAGAAGAGGCCACAAGGCAACTGTAAACACAACTCTCCATATTTAATTATAAGCTCCTTTGCTGCCTAGGCACTAGACAGTCAAACACCCCAAACCCTAGCTGAACCCCAGCCCACATCTTCCCAGGCAGTTAGACTCCTACCCCCCTAGTCTTGAAATCCCGGAGGATTTGCTCCTCCATGGGAGAGTAAAATCCTAGACTCAAGTAAACTGTGACTTGGATGAGGCAGCATATCCAGTTATGTCAACATAGCCTGGTGGCTAAAAGTCAGATTGCCTCATTTTGTTCTGGATACACTGTAAGGGTTTGAATCCTGTCTCTGCCACTCATTAAACCATTACACCATGGGATAAGCTGCTTTAGTTTCCTCAGCAGTAACATGGCCACGGCAATCCTCGCAGAGCTATGTGCAAGACTGAACCAGATGGCCCGTGGGAGACATGGAATGTGACGTGGCACATGGGAGTGCTTGGCCAGTTTTTATCTGTCCCACTCCACTGGGTCTCAGACTCAACAGGTGTGATGAAGACCATCCCCTCCCAAGGGGAGGCAGGTTTCCCTCTCTTGCCATCGATAGATTTCCACTCACAGGGGTCTCTGTGAAGTTTCCCATCTCTCATAGACTGTCTCCACTTCCTACACTGAATCCCAAACTAGAAGAGGGATCTTATGGCCTCCAAATTGGAGAATCTTATGACCCTCCAAGCATTATGAAGGCTGACTTGGAGATGTGTCCTTTGAAATAATTCCAGGGGAAATATCCTTCACATGAGTGTGTTCCAAAGCAAGTTCTGCCCAATGTTGGTTCTGTGAGGTCTCATCAAGAAAAACCTTCCATAGTTAAATACATGTTCAAAGGACTAGTACCATTTCCCTTGGAGATTCTGCATGCATGCTTAGTTGCTCAGCCGTGCCCAACTGTTTGTGGCCCAATGAACTGTCGCCCACCAACCTCCTCCGTCCATGGAACTTTCTCATGTGCATCAATATATGAAAGGCTTGAAAAGATCATGAAGAAACTGACTTGACTTCATCTCATTCAATGTTTCTACTATTTATTTTATTATAAACCTGTTGTTAATATTTTGGAACCCATGTTCTTAGGAAAGTGCAGTAGAAACAGTGGGAGATGTCAAAAATAACAATAAATGATGCTACCAGCAGTAGTCACTATTACTTTGTCCTAAATTCTCAGAAAAATATTTTAAACACTCTCTACATAGCCTTGTCCACAATTAAGTTCTTCTTTCCCTAAATCATCTTACCTGGCTGCATAACTGAGGTCTTACAGACTCTGGGATTGTTACCGAGGTCTTGTCATAGAGATGACCTGTTTGTTTGTGAAAAACTTTCTGTGGTTATTAAACACACATAGCTTGATTTTACTTTTTTTTATAAGAGAGTTGTCTTCCTTAGAAAATAGATCATTCAACTCCATTCTATACCAATATGTTTTCTCCTCTCACTCCCTCTTTGTGTAGTAATCTACTCTAGAATCTGTTCCCACAGGTTTGGGGAAGGAAAAAAAAGCTCCCAGCCCCCCTTCCCCTTTGCCTTCCAATGCCCCCGAGCAGCTGGTAGGGTTTATTGCTCTTCCCCGACATTGGCTTCGTTCTATACACAGAGTAAGATTGATTATCCTCATTCAAAAACGTGAAGATCCAGCATGCGCCTTTGTCCCGCGTCCCCTGAGAGTGAACTGGCGTCAGCAGCACGCCGTAAAGAGGCAGCACTCTGGGGGCCGGGAGCAGGCTCATGGGGGCCACGCCACCACCCCCTGTCCTTGTCAGCTCTACCTTGAGCTGCTCCTTCAGCAGAGAGGAGTGTGGAGAAAGGAGGCTGGTCCAATCCTCCTGCAGAGACTGCCTGGCGGTGCTGGCCAGGCGGTAGCTGTAACCGGAGCTGAGATGGCCTTTCATCCAAAGGCCCCATCACTTACAATCCAAGGCTGCACTGAGGTTGAGCAAGATGTGCTCTGTGTGTGCATATGTTTGCACACACATGTGCACACGACGCACACAGTGTCTGCCCGAGAGGCCCCCGAGGCAGGTTACACAAACCTGGCACACGACAAGGTTCTCGCCAGGCTCTCATTTTTCATTTCACCAGTTGGGCTGAAATAAAAACTCAGAGCCCCCACACTACTGAACCACCATTCCAGAGCCAGCCAAGGTTTGGAACATAAAGAGAGCTGAACAAACCAGCGTGTAGGCAACCCCCAGGAAAGTAATTGTTCTTCTTAGCAGCCCGGCTGCTTCTCTGCTTAGCATCTGAACAAGTTAATTTGGAAACATGGCCTTCTGGAAAGAAATGGCACTCATCTCAGCATCCGATGGATTCACGGGGAGAAATGCCCTTTCGCCAGGTAGAAACAGTGAATTATATTTGAAATCCATTTCTATTGAAGGAAAAAAAAAATCTTCACTTTCCCAGGAGCCACTCTTTTGGCCTGATGGCAAGATTTAACCACGGCTGTCCCACTTCAGGGGTCACTTTTTTGCTCACATCGGTGTCTGGCAACCAGGGGAAGAATTTTACTAATCGAACCAGGAGCAGTTTAATTAAATACAAATTCACATAAAGACGTTTGCCCTTTGCTAATCTTGGGCTTCAAGGAACTTATCTCAGCAGCATCTAAATCAGATAAATCGGCTAAATTGATCCTGCTCCTTAGAAAGGGTGCTTCATCTAGATCCAATCAACAGCAGATTGAGGTGTGATGTGAGATGAGGGGAAGGAATCAAGCTGTCCACTGATTCTGGGATGGGAGTCGGACTTCAAGGAGCAAAAACACCTCTGTTTCGTGTTAGCTTTGTTCCCCGCTGAACTCTAGGGCTGCTGAATCGTGGTGCCAGGACTGCCCTTTCTTCTGGGCAGAGGGAAAGACAGCAGTGGGCTCAGAGAGGAAGAGCTGGAGAAATATGATCTAGACATTGTGTCTTTTTGTTCTGTCCACAGTTTTGCAAGTCTGCATTTGACCTTCCATCCCCTATTAATTAGGACCTGCTATGTTTCTGGCACTGAGCTAGATATTTCCCAAATTATTTTTCATACCATACACCTGAAAACTCAACTAAAAAGTAACATGGGACTTTCACTCCCATGGTGTCCCTGGGAGTGAATCCTATCTCAGAAGGATTAGCTGTGTGACTTGGGGCAAGTCAGTTCAGCTCTCTGAACCCCAGTTCTCTCATCTGTAAGATCAAAAG